TACAGTGGAAACACCAGAAGGCAAGGGAAGCGACAGCCTACCAGAAGACTATGACAGAGAGAAAGGCGTTGTACGGTTCATCAAGATTGGTGACATGGATTATAACGCTTGTTGCGGGACGCATCTGCAAAACTCGTCGCACATCAACATCATATTATTACACCATATGCAGTCCGTACGAGGTACCAACTGCCGGCTGTTCTTCACCGCGGGAGATCGTGCGATAAAGATGGCTACCGAGTCGATCACCGGTCTTCGCTCCATTGCTGTGTCATTATCATCTGGTTCTGCCCCTGCAGACGTCGCGGCTGGTGTGCAAAGGATAAGCGACCAAGTCTCCGAAGGACGAAAGAAAGTCAACAAGTTACTAGCTGAGATTGCAGCATTTGAGGGAGACCGCATAAGGAGCCATTTGCAAGGCCAGACCACCGCATTCATGCATCGTGGAGCGGATGGTCTCGATTTCATCAATCTAGTCCTTTTTGAAATCAAGGATTTCGTTAAAGAGCGAGAAGTTGTTGTTGTGCTGTGTTCGGGTGAGATTAAGAGCTCCGGATCCATTGTTGTGTTTGGCAAACCAGACTTGGTAGAGAAGATGGCCGTGAAGGTCAAGGAAGTTGTGAGCACAGCGAAGGGTGGCGGCAAAGGTGAGAAGTGGCAAGGCAAGGTTACCGAGTGGCAAAAGGGTGAAATCGAAGCATTGAGAGAAGCTGTTCACACGCAGTAGAAGCTTTAGATATATATAGAAAGAGAGAGGTATGTACAAGAAAGCCATATTGAACAAAGAGAAAATTGGTATAGAGCAGTTGTCCAAACCCGCCCCTCCAAAGCAGTATAATGTAGGAGAAAAGGTATTTACATTGAAAACAAAACCAGATGATCATAGACTGGAGGAAAAGATGAAGCGAAAGAGTAGGAGAGGGGTCCTCAAGTCTTTAGACACTGTACACCTTGACGGAGTTGACGAGCCAGTATGTCTAATTATTGTTAGCACAAACACTTTTGTGTAAAGCATAGCACAATGAAGACTTACATCTGAAAAGCTCTGTGGCTGGTTTGCCACATAAGCATTGCAACTCGGGTTAATCTGCGAGCAGGAGTTTGAGCCCCAGACGCCGCCCGCCCAATCCCCACAGAATGTTATGTCAAATACGATATTCAGGTCCTTGAACCTGGCATTGTAATCACAACCTGCGCCGAAATTCGCGATCGGAGTACCCCAAGTCGCAGGATCAGGGTTACCGTTCCGGATGTTCGCTGGTACATCCCGAGTAGCAAAGTACCATACTTTGATGCCAGAAGATGTCCATAAAGTGGCGTATACACCACCGCCATTAGCGTTGAAAGGTGTACCGTATGTGACAGGGTTGTTGGCTGAGATGCCGCAGCCGTTGAAGCCGCCGCCGGCACCACAATCTCCTGTTAGACGGCTTCCAGTTTCCCCACCTGGGCCGATGGAAGGGTTGCAACCCGGGGATGTGTGGAGAGTGACTTGATTGGAAGGGCTCATGTGTACGCCTTCGTAGATGTCTATCTCGCCTTGGTTTGGCCAGTTAGGACCGACCATCCAACTGTGCAATGTAAGCGTGACGTCGTATGACAAGAGCAGGCAGATGACTCACAAAGCTGGCCATGAACCGCATGCACTCCCAGGAACATGTGCGAAGTCTGCAATAACAAGCGCACGGTTGTAGGCTGTCTTGCTTTGGACACGTACACTCTTTCGACCGGGGCCATTGGGGTCGAGTCGAGATGTTGAGTCTACACCCATGTATACCTGGCCGTTCTGTGTCTTCATTAGACCGAACTGCTGGGCTTCTTGCGCATTGACATAGTCCACAAAGCCATCTACAATTCTTGTCAGGCCATGCTACTGGAATGAGGACCAACGAACATACGTGTGGGGTCGGCAATGTCTTGGACATCAAACTTGCTCGCCCAGTTACTCGAGTCGTACGTATCGATCAAGTTGTAGGCAGCCGATGCATGCACATCATTTGAAGAGGAGTAAACAAAGGAGGTTCCATTAGGCCATGAACCAGGTCCTGCTGGTAGTGCGGTAGCACAGCGCCAAAGGAACGGAATAGAAACGAACAGTGACTTGAGGGACATGATGTTGTATGTACAAAAGGTTGAGATGTGTCGTCGTACAGACATCAAAGCCGGGATTGTTTGATATACTTATAGCCATGCGCATCTTTTTCGCAATGAATATGTGCATGCTCATATGCCCCCTGGCTAAGGACGAACGACACACTTGGGTCGGCTGCACTTGGCAGAGGGAGATCCTGTCGGAGAGATTGCATGACCTACTGGCTCGCCGTATACACATACCATTGGTCGTCGAAAGCAGATTAGGGACAAAAGCCTTGCAATGTTACAGCACTTGTGAGGACGTAGTCGCAAACTTCGAATGGTCCCGGAAAATTCGCCCAGTTGAGCAGTTCGAAATTGCTTGTAGAAAAACGTGGACGTGCCGCATGATGAAGGTCTAGACACTTGTAGCCTCGTGGTAGGAGTAGTGGCGGTTAGGCTCGCTGGATGTTTGGCGGTTTCAGTAGTTTTGCTGGTGAACTGCTTCTGAGGCTCGTGAGTGGTGGAGAGGTATCGCCATTTCATCAAACGGGCCCTGTTCCCGCGGACCGCATCGCGACGCGACAAGTGAGCCGAGGAAAAGACAAAGTGTTCTGGGGAGAAATGAATAGTTGCGACTGTGAAAAGGAGTTGATTGAAACCGAGCTCACGACTTTGCTTTCTCCAGACGTTGGTCCAACGTACATTCCGTGGTCTGTTCGGGGATAGCGCTGTCACCGCTTGAACAGCGACTGCCTACTTTGCCCGACGCATCTTGCTCTCCCACTCATGCTAGGATCATTTCACAGAGCCTCGGGACCGACATGAGTCGATTTGCGGTTGGTAACAAAGAGATTTAGATGAAGTTTTGGAAAGTTGTGATACCGACCCCGCAGTGTCTTTCCCCATGGTTGTGGCATCTGATGATGTTCGAGGTCACACCGGGCGGCTCCCGCGTCAGACAGGGACTTTTCCGACGGCGCATTTGTCGGTGTATGCCTCAACCCCGGATTAGCATCGCATGCGGGGGGCTCGCGTGGTTCTACGTAGCACTGCTTAGGTCGACTAGAGAAACTAAGTGCATACCTTCTGGGTCTCCTGTTACGAACCCTTCACCGCTCAAATCGCACGATAGAAACTTGCTGAAGAGCCAATTCCAATCGAATTCACGGAGAAACAGGTCGGGTACATCGTTCTGACGAGGAAACTTGATGTGTTAGTTGCGGTCGCGACCGTCGAGGACGATCCATTACACACAACCTTGTATCAACGCGGCTTCCAGAAACCAAGAATGGTATTTGACAAGAGACGATGGAGCCGTGACACGAAGCCAACATATTCCTATCGTCCTCCAGGATACAGATCTACCAATCATACTGTTGTCAGTGTACATATACAGTACCGTATTGGAAGCGGCATATGTTGACGCACGGCTTGCTTGAACAAAGAGAAGACATAGACCTGACACTTAGAGAATATTGGCTGTGCTACCCATCATAGTCACTAGCGTATCTGCTCAACGCATAGACTTCAGTTGTTCTGTTCTCACTATCCAACAGCACTCATCACTTTTCATGTTCCAAAGCTGATATTCTAACATCTTACACGTACAGCTAGTCATCATGTGTGCTGTCGTTATATATGTGTCATTGGCTAGAAGTTACGAAGCCGACTCCAACGATTATAGTCAACTATATAGCACTCAAGTTGCACAGCTATCTGGGCATAGTATCGGGAGTCGAGGATAAAAAAACCAAATTGACTTTAACGGATCAGTCACTCTTGTTGCATCGTCCACCGAGTTCCCCAGCCGGCTATACTATGCGCTTCTCTCTGCTTCTTAGGATGATTGAAGACGCTCTGACTCTTGGCTGTAGGGTCAGATTTTGTCCTCCTCACATTCAAGATGTGGAAGCATGGTGACATTGTGATCTAAGCACATAATCGCGGATCACCGTGAGATCAGCACACTAGCAGTCAAAAGCTCTGTTCAGAGCATGTTTGGTACAAAATCGATGAGTCTCCTGTTGACTTCCACTCATGAAGGCTTCTATGCTCAGGTGGAGTTTCCGCCCTCTTCGTACGTGAGCGTCATGTAGCTGAAATGTCATATAGAAAACCTCACCACACTGCATCAATGTGGGAAAACCAATGAGATACTGACTCAATGTTGTTGCGTGCTGAGGTGCAAGCTACTTTTAATGGAAAGAAAATGTCCGTTGAACGCACCACAAGATAGATAGTCGGCAAGATGAAAGACTGTGTTGTCGCTTGAAACCTCGAGCATACTCATCGCGAACAGTCCTTAGAGGCACGTATTGGTGAACATTGTTCACACTATAAACTACTGATTTCATTCACACCTAGCCTCGGTATGCTTCACTTTCCTGCAGTCGCCGCGGTGAACACTCACAATATCACTCACTGTAGCGTTTGTCATGTTCTTCTACTCGCAAAAGCATTGTAGCAGACTCATGTATTCACCAAAATGTAGGGCCTTTGTTGCTCACTCCGGTGGTACAATGACTCCCTTTGGACTATATGAACAGATTTTACTATACTCTACTTTAGATATAGCCGCAAAGTACAACTGAGAAGCAACAGCAACGAGGAACGCAACGGAAAGTACGAACAGCATCGGCTCACGCAGCCCTACCACGTCTTCGAAGACGATGTCTTCTTCAAAGAACATGCAAAAGCTCGCCTCTATCTTCGGAAGCATATCCTTCGGCTGGATCTGGTGGCTTCGGAGTCTAGACACCAATCCTGTTACTACTCCATACCCAATTTGGTGGTATCTCTTCAGCACATTCTCACTAGGTGGCTGGCTCGTTTTCATAATCTACTACACCATAATCAATTCCAACCGAGAGAAAACTCCAGGTCCCAAGCCCCACGAGCTGTGGAATCTTCTTCACGTCGTGCTAATGGCACTTTTAAACGCTACTGTCTTCAAAAGCTTGTCGGTCAAGGACAAAGGACTACTTTGGTTTTCGGCCTTAATGGCGTGGAGATACTATCGCACCATCCTCGCTCTATACTTCTACTTCCGATACGAAATAGCGTCCAATGATTCCCTTCAGGATCTGAAGTTTAAGCCATCAGATTGCACCGTGATTGTACCCACAGTCGGCCCCGCAAACAACCCAGTGTTTAGAGAGATGACCGAACAGATTCTCCGAAACAAGCCTGCCTGCTTGATCTTTTCTGCCAACAGCCCTAACGCCCAAGAGGATATCATGGCCCACATTGAGGACTCGATCAAAACACTCGGTTCGGAAATGGTCACGGAAATCAAGTACACATGTGTCAATCATTCCAACAAGCGCAAGCAGACTTGTCACGCTATCGACATAGTGAAAACTAGGATTACTGTCATGGTCGACGATACTGCCATCTGGAATGAGCAGCTCTTGAACGCAACTCTTCCCGCCTTCAATGACCCAGAAATCGGCCTTGTTGGGACGCGAAAAGTGGTGAGGTACATTCGCCCTAACCGTAATCCCAATATGAGTCTCATGCAGTACTACAAAGCATGGTATTGGGCTGGTCTCTGGAACACTATAGGCGCACTGTATCTCCAGCGTCATAGCTTTGAGACTCAAGCATCGAATACCGCTGATGGTGGTGTTTTTGCGGTATCTGGTCGAACCTTGTTCATCTTGACATCAATCGTCCGGAATGACCACTTCAAAGATCGATTCTTGAACGAACATGTTCTCAAATCTGTCTTCACTTGGCTGACCAGACTGACCAAGTGGCACATTCCGTTTGCAGGCCAGATCCTTACCTACTTCGAGAAGAATGGCCTGAACCAAAACGGATTCGGGCCTCTTCTTGCCGATGATGACAATTTCATCACACGATGGACCATTGACCATGGATACAGCACCAAGATCCAGTCCTCGCCCAATGCAACCATAACCACGGTTTTGGGAAACGTAGAGACGTTCAAGTTCATCGATCAATGCAAACGCTGGAGTCGCACAACATTTCGGCAAAATCCCATTGCGCTGTTCAGCGATCGCACTATCTGGTGGAAATGGCCTATTTCGGTGTGGACAGTGTATTTCCCCTGGATATACAACTTCGCAATGGTATGGGATCTTTTGGCGATCCTTGCCTTCTGTCGATCAGAACTATATCTCGACTCCCCCAATGGAAATACGAGACTCATTCTCCTGGTCTCTTTCATATGGCTGACCAAACTCATCAAAACCTTTCCGTGGTTTTGGGAACATCCTTACGATTTCTTGCTGTATTTTTGGCCCATTCCTGCTTATCCTATGTTTGGGTACTTCCATTCCTATTTGAAGGCTAAAACAGCGGCGACTTGTTGGAATAACGAGTGGAGTGGAAGGAACTTGAAGAAGGCAGAGGCTGTTGCAGGAGCCGTCTCAGGACGCAAGAAAGCAGAAGATGTTTCAGCAATGGTAGCAGGACTCAAAGACGAGTAAATCGGCGGATACGGCCACTCGCTCTCGGAAAGACCGACTGGCGCCAGGATAGAAGTCGAAATGATCAAGCTTGATCAAGCTTGTAATATCTTGGATCGGGAGGAAGTTCGTTTGGCGACTTCATTTCGCGTTTTGTTGTTTTCGATTCCCAGTGTTACTTATAGACGGTAGACAAGGACATGCAATTCTATTCCAGGCTTCTAGGTCAGCTTTGATCTGGATAGGCTATTGTAAGGCGTTTAATAGAAGGTCGCACGTGTACCTACTGGCAGTGTAGATACCATGCTTTGTCTAAAGTGATCTTTATGTATGCCTTGGGATGGCTTCTGTGACCAGGTTCCGGGTTATTGCTGCGAGAGATCACAGCTCTCGGATGGGAGGCGGCAGCCTGTGTAAGTTGTGAACATTACGGAGCTTGGCACAATCTCCGAAGAATGCGACAGTGCGAACTTGATTGAATGTGGTATGTGGTCTGTCGTAGAAGACATTTTGCTATCACTTTCTAGACTGCTCAGCAGCGGCGACTTCCAGCGGCTGCGGGCCGTTCCAATACGTCATACATATCGGTCATGGATAGATCACATCTTAACAACAACACCGAAGGTATGGACGCAACATTGATTCGACTACAAAGCGAGCGATATCACCAAAAATTCGCCGCAGCTTTGAGATAAACATGAGATGGCGTTCGTACGCTAGGCGCAATTGCTTCATTTGTACTTTCCTCCACCAGAGCTGAAGCCGGTCCCGACATGCTGGAAACATCCGCTCCACCAACTCTACTTTGACTACACCTCTCGCTCCACTTCTACACTACATGTCTTCTGCGAAATCAGCGTATAGCAACAGCGCTTTTGTCGGCCTTCTTTGGTTCCGGCAGGACTGCGATATGCGACAGCGCATTCTTCAATTCCGCCACCATTGTCGATCTAAAGTCACGCGCAGGCAAGGACCTCTCTCAAAATAATTCGTACTGGACGAGGGTCGACAGAGTGGTCGGCGAACAGAAACTCGCATACCGCATACTGCATCAGCCAAAGAGCATGGTATTGGTTGATGTGCAGACACCCTGGACCCTCCACCGCCAAGCTCTGTCACCAGCTTGATGCGATCGCGCGCGCATATGGGAGAGAGTATCGCTTACCTTGATGCTGTCCGGCAGGACTGGGGTTGGCGACGATGGGGGCCAGAACAAGCGGAACGTGTTGGTCTGCTAAAAGAGAGTTGGCGCCAATCAAGTCCTTCGCCGTCGGGTCCTCGAGGAACGTTTCGTGTTGTTGAAGGGTGAACTAACTTTGTTATCTCGTGGTCCCACAAGCCCCTTCGCGGCGCAGAATTGCTTTTGCTTCATGCCAGGTGGTCTGATCACAGGCCCTGCTCGGCCTTAGTCTCAACCCCCCTCTCAACCCCACCGCGACGGTGAAATCTGGTCCGCCTAGGGAGCCATGTGCAGCATGAAGCAGCGCCACTCCAGCCAGCCTGCAGATACAAGGCGGCGCCTGGCGAGACTTTCTGGTACCGTAACCGTGCTCGCGATATAACAGACACACCTTAGTAGTCACGGTTGCCGACACGTGTCTTGGACTCTATCGCGCGAAGCAACGACAGGCTGCGCTACAATAACGGACTGCGTTGTAGGCGCCTTGGAGGATGACGAAAGAGTTTGTCTGCTCCCCCGTACGATTGGGCTTTCCTTGGATACTTGAGTAATACTTCTCTGTCCCCCTGTCAAGATAATGCTCAAGGAGGAATATAAACCCAATGCCTGCCCTGTTACTCATAGGTTTACGGGTTGGGCATCCGGTCATGCGCATTTTGCAACAGGGCTGCGAGGATCATGAGGCTCTGCTCGTGGTGGGCAATCCATCAACCGAAGCCACGGTCTGGACACCCGCATGTGCGACGAAAAAGCATGCGCGGGCACCGGCAGAAGAACTGCTCGTACGTTCACTTCGCATCCATGCTCGCTTTCGGGCCGCCGTCTGTCTCACGTCCCAACACAGCATGGTATAGCACATGGTGCGCGGGAAGGATGATCAACCATCTGGCCGGTGTTTTCATCCCCCCAATTGGGTTTGTGGCTTGCTTGCGGGGTCGCTAGTGCATAGGCGAGGCCGACGCCAACGAATTACCTCTCCGCCATGTCACGGTCAACCCGGTCAACGGTGGTCGACAGTCAGTATGGCGGAGGGGCCCTGTTACGGGCCATGCCGCTCAGCGCTCACATTGTTCTCCTCGGAACTGTGCACCCAGAATGCGAGGTGTGCAATTATGACGAGCCCAAATTTGGCTCACGAGCTCACACAGCTTCGTGTGTGATGGCGCACGGCGCTATCAATCAAGCATGATTACAGCCCATTGAGAATTGAGAACCTGTCATTCGTCCTCCCATCGTTCGTATAGCATGGAGCCCTGAGATTCCGATATCTCAACTAGGGTTCCGGACTATTGGTACTCGCATAGCAAGCAATCCTGTGCTGATCACCCGTCAAAGTGGCTTTGGGCGTCCCCAGTGTCTGTCCATGTTTTGCTGCTGCTGCACTTCTGCGTAGCCTTCCAGAAGAGGATGCGTCGACTAGTGAATCTAGCACCGCGCTCTATTGCAAGCGAAATCGCATCAACATTGGTCTAATCGTCAATCAACGCAAGCGAAGAAAGTAATGCGACGTGGAAGACGGCCTAGATCGTGTCGCACGACTAGTAATGCTGGAAGAAAACTTTGTACCATCGCTGGCTCAACTCCTCGCCCCAAGAGGCATTTGGCACCATTTTGGAGGCCCCTTTCAAGGTGTTGTATTACGTGGGGGTGATGAAATGTTTTGAAGAGCATGGCAGTGGTGGAAAGCCCCTCCGCGCTTATCCTCAGGGTCAGACTATTCACCAATACTCCGGAAGTCGCCAGAGTCCCTGCAAACCTGCTTGACGGCCAATAAGGTTACCGGTGCGGACACCATGAGAGGAAAATGAAACATGTCCTGCATACAGGCGAAGACGATCGTGATCTGGTCAATTATCATTCGGAGAAATGTGCAACACAAAACGAAATGGTCGTGGTCGACCAGCATCTTCGCGAAACAGGCCCTTTACGCTATAGTTCATCTGGTCGGCCCTTTCCTGCGCTGTGTCCCGCATGCCCATATCCAGGACAGGCAGGGTCAATGCTGGTCGCAGGGCGTTCTAGGCCATCGCAACAAGGTGTGGCGGTGCGACCTTCTCCTCTTCCTGAGCGGCCCAAGCACGTCTCTCAGAAGCTGCGGCATGGTTCCTTGATTACTCCGGGGTATCGAGCTCATACACTTAGCGCTAGCGATATCGCGAACCTACAGAACTGTGGCGGTGCGCAATCATAACGCTGAGACATGATGTCTGGCTCCTGCAGTAGCTTGATTACGCCCTCGGATTGAGCTTGGGTTGTTTGCATGACCAAATTAATTGCGTACACGAAACTCAATCATGCCACGACGCTCAGGTTCTATCCAGTCGTAGGTCTAACGCAGTCTTTGGCCTCGCATGTAACCGTTGGTTTTATCGGCGTGAGTCAGACATAGGCTACACTGGAGAGTTGCGTCCTGTCAGATGCCACGGCTTCACTACCGCGTCGAATGCGTGGTTCTCCAGAACTGTGGACTACATTGACAGGAAGCAGCCTTTACAACTAAAATAGCCTCGATCGAATCCAAGTAGTGCGACTTCCATGGCTGGCTCACCCCGCATATGCTATAGCTAGCTCTCCTGCGCCGTTGTGAGCGGCCTTTGATATACATCAGGCGAAGAGATTAGTGCTGCGCCCATGGCGACATAATATACTGAAGCTTGGGGTATTGCTGATGGCGTAAGACTGGATCCAAGCCATTGTCGGGCAGCTGTGTTACATTCCATGGTTGAGGTGCATCAGGGTGTAGCAACGCACTCGACAATCATGCGCCAGTTGCACTGCAGCCGGTATACTTGGCCAAGAGCAGGCGGCATGGCTGATAGAATGGTTGGTCCCAGGAAGGGTGTGGTTGACGCCTTCCAAAACCTTATCCACGATGTCGGGCCATAAGGGTTCAGGCACCACGCGGAACAAGATGTCACGCTGATTACCAGATGGTACGTTAGCATGGTACGGAACATGAGGTCCGTGTATGACAGCTAGCAGTCGGGAGCCTCTGCTCTGGTCAAGGACACACGGCGTGTGCACATAGCGTACCGTGGCAGCGCAAGGCCCCCAGAGCGAAATTGCTCTGACTTGGCTCCCCACGACGGGCGCAAGTCTAGCAAACGGCTGTAGGGTAGGTGTTCGGTCGCGACCATAGGATGGCCAGTACAGGCGCCGTCACATGCGATAGCCGGCCAGCTGCAATGTGCCCACCACACCAAAGGTCGACGACGATTATTCAGAGGACCATGTCACGCCATGCCACGGTAGCCTTGCATTGCGGTCGAGCTGTGATATGACGCACCGCAATTTGGAGCGGTGGTTAGTCAGGAAAACTGTGCATCATCGAGTCCCGCAGTGACGATGTCACAACGTGACGATGAGAAACTCGGTGAGGTCAGCACGAAGAGACGGCCTGTTGGAGAGGCAGTGCAGCGCAGACTGAGCCCCACGAAGACTCGCTTAGCGACCCCGTTGCGGGCAATGGTCTAAGATTAGCAGTGTGCCCATGTCCAATGAGACGTCATGAGCCTGCACAGCCGCGTGCTAGCGTCACCAGCCACAGCTCGTGCATGACGGTCCGAGCTGCGGGCAAAGCGAGAGGATCGCGTATCAGATGCGCTAAGGGCCGCCTGGCTTGCGGAATGGCAGGACAGGACCTGTCCCCAGTCCGCCCATGGCTCCCCGACCGAAGCGGTGATCGAGCGTGCGTTTTCTTCAGGGTCTATCCCTAATCCGCTTGTCTTTGCCAGATGCAGCATGACGGCTCCCACGCTCTGCACGCCTACTCGCTGACGTGCTTCGACCCCTCGTCACTTTCGGCATGGCTTGCTCTGTTGGTGCGTCGACTTGCGCAAAC